TCTAATTTAAATGAAAATTTCAGTATATACTCATTAATTATTTACTTTTATTATAATGAATGCATTTTTTATTTAAAAGAAATCTGTGAAAATGTTATTCATTTTGTAATAACCACCAATATTTTCATGCCTAAATTTTGCTCAAAATAATATTTAAGCTGCAAATTTTTATATTTCCATAAAGATTAATTGCTTATGCATCTCCACTAAAAAAAAGGTTTTACACAACACAAACAGAATTGTCTTAAGATTTGTTTTCAGTTTTCAGGAAAATTTTTCATTTTGAAATCTTTAAACATTTTCATTTTTTAAATGATCATTTTCTTGGTTTTATCTTTCTAGAAATGTAAAAAGTAGGGACTAGAAATTTTTATTTTAATTGCTAGCCATGGACTTCTGGTTAGTATTACTATTAGCAATAAAAATCCAGAGATCTTCCTTAATGGATGACCTCAAAATAAAAAAAAATGATTTTACTGAGATATATTCTCCTTTTTAATTGATTTAAAAGAACTGTTCAGAAAGAAAGTTACAATTTAAAAATATAAGTGCTACTAAAATTAGCACTTCTTTCCACCCCTCCCCAGTAAGCATGGGGGCTGCCATGCAGTTGAGAAGTTCTGGTAGTAAGCACTGGCCCTGTAAATATGACTTAGGTATAAAAAAGTACAAAAAGAAAACAAAACATCGCTGAAACCCTTTTGAGGTTCCAACATTGTCGGGGGTTCCTGTATAGTAAGCACTGTGCCTGTCATGCAGATACCCGATGTATATTATTATGACTGACAATGTAACATCAGTTTAAAAATAATTTTAAAAAATGGCAGATGGCCAAAAAACAGTGCTAAAAAAAACAAGGCCCCAAAAAATGTCCCCTACCAGTCACGGATTTCAGGGGTAAGATGTGCAAGCTTTATATACATCTACCCCCTCATCCTTTATCATCTTTCAGTTTTGCTACTCCTGTCCGCCTACCTAGATGGCCTAGTGAAAGCTTTGTTTCTTCTTTGGGGCTACAAAGCTCATATGATGCATTGCAAGGTCTGCTATCTCCGTCTGTCGGAGGATGAGCAGTCTTGGGATCCCAGACATAGAGATCCGTTGAGACATTTTGCAATTGCATTTCCTTGATTGGATGCGTACACAGGATGATGCAAGTGGCAGCTTCTAGAAGGAAGATGCCAAAATAGCTTTCCTGCCTTTGAGAAGCATGCACTCAACTGAGATAGAAGTCTGCTATTTGCACTGAAATGATTGTTCCTTCTACAGTGAATGCCATCATACACTGAAAGTTCTCTCTTGGGTACAGGCTGACTTCTCTGATATCCAGTCATTGTCAAGAAAGGCATTATATCAGGTGTTAGTTAATGGAGAGGGGGGCGTTTATGATGGTCTGACATGAGGGAGTTTAATAGGGAGCCTTGGACACTGGGTTGAGATGCCTGACTAATGATGAGACATTATTCACCTGGCTGATGATTCAAAACATGCACTGGATTGGCAAAACATCTTCCGCAGCAGGATGGTTGTTTATTAGATATTTAAATTTTTGACTTGCTTGATTTTGGTATTTGATATTGCATCTTGGGCTATTCTTTTTCTTAACAACCATACATACAATCTTCTTACAATTGATGTTTAGTCCTTTCTTCTCACTTTCCTTTACTACCTTATGTAGGATTTCCTATATTTTCCTTTCTTTGTCTTCTATTAACACTGCAATCTAATGTTAAGATTTTGGCCACCATTAATGAATAGTGGTAAGAATTCAAATTCTCTTAGAATCATCTCCCTGTAAAGGTTGAATAAGTCCAGTGAGAAGACATATCTTTGTCTTCCACGTCTTTTTATCTTTGTATATCTGCTTTTCTATTTGCATGCAGTTGGTTTGCCGCCAGTATAGGTTCTAGATTATACCAATATCATTCCCAAATAGGTCAAAGGTTACGTAGCAGTTCCAACAGTTCTTTGTGATGTACTTTATCAAACACTTTTGCATAATTTATAAAACACAGGTCCATATCTTTCTACAATCTATACACTTCCATAAAAAAGGAAGCAAATGCAGTAATGGTTGTTATAGACAAGTGTATGGTTGCAAGAAGGAAATACGACAAGAGCAGAAATAGATTTACATGATTTATTTCAATAGGAACGTGTGGGTTTGGTATAGTTCATAAGCCAGCTGCCAGTCTGGGTTGATCTTTCATAGTAGTTCACACTGGTTGGCGTGGCGCTCCTCCTGCTGACTGCCCATGACAGATCTCTTCTTTGGCCTCCTGTTGACTGCTGCTGTACTTCCCTGTGTGACCCCTTTTATGGCATTTTTTATGACTTAACAGGCTTGTAAAACGACACAAGTATAATTAGGAGGGAAGCATTTTTATTAGTCAAAAAATAGAAACACTTTAAAATATTTTATTTTTCAACCAGAACTTGTGTCAGGCATATGTGTAAACGACGATAATGGTCATTTTGTGATGGGGCCTTGTCCCGTTCACATCCGGCTCTCACTATTGAGTGTATTAGTTTATTTGCCTGCAAATCAGCCAAGATATCTTATTTTATTTTTATAACATGGTCTTGATCTGGTAAGAAACATGGTGACTCAGCTCAGTTCAGGGTACCCTAATTCTGTCCCCTAGTTGAGACACCATTGTTGGGTGTAGTTTTAGGTCATAACCAAGACCTACTTTCCAGTTCCATTCATTTCCTTACTGACTGCCAATCACTTAATCTTTTCAGCTATAACCATCTGGAGACTTCTGCTGCTGCCATTGTTATTGAACAAATGGCCCTGTTCTTTTCCAAACCTGTTACACGTAATTTTGGCAACATCTTACACAGTGACCACCCAGTATTTCAATTCTGATATCATTCTTAACATAAATACTACATTCCATATTTCATTGTTTTTAACAAACCTGCACTCTTCTTGTCCTATTTTCAGTCTGATTCTGTTGCACAATCTATTCATTTGAATTTGGATCATAAGTTTTCTTATATGGTTCATTAAGTTGATTGTCCAATGAAGTTCCCATTCATTTGCACTTGGCCTCTTAGGCAGTGTTATGAAAATAGATCTACTTAGGTCTTTTGTAAAATTCTTTATATATATATATATATATATATTGTTGAAAAAGGATTTTTATCCAACATTATTTCTTATTACTGTAAACATTATTTTAGTGTTTGAGTTTCTATCCTTGTTTTTGTTTATTTGATTAAACAGTGAAAGTAATAGCAACAAATATCCTTCCCAAATATATCAAGCTTACCTAACACTTCCAACAATTCTTTGTGTCATATTTTATCAAATGCTTGATGTAATGGAATATCCTGTCACCCCGATGAGTGACTACACTATAGGTAGTAACTATCTATAAGTATCTGTAAGTCAATGGACTGCAGAGACTAGCTAAACAGTCGAACTCTCTGCCTTTGGCCAGAGAGGAACCAGGATGAGGCTCTGCTGAAGGGCAGAGTCTTGTTCAGGGAGGTAGACTGACCCAATCCCCTTTATGTGGATTCTATGGGGATTTTTTGGCCAAGCCTATGGGCTCAGAAGACCCACATAAAACTCGGACTTATGCCACATCTACCCTCATGGGGGGGGAGCTAATAATTATTGACTAGTCAAAATTTTTTTCAGCTTGCTGGTCAAATTCTATGCCAAAGGGAGGTAGACTGACCTGATCCCAATTATGCAGGTTCTACAGAGATTTTTTGGCCAAGCCTAAGTGCTTGGATGTCCCACATTAAACTCGGCCTTGTGCTACATCTACTCTCGTGGGGGTGGGGGTAGTAAATACTGACTAGCTGAAATAGCTGAAATCTTCAGGCAAAGAGTTCAACTGTATAGCTAGAATTTTTGACTGATATAACTGTATAGCTGAATTTTTGACCAAGCCTACATGCACGGATACCCTACGTTAAATTTGGCCTTGTGCCACATTCCACTGCATGGGGAGGTTGGCAAACATACAAGCTGGAATCTTTTCCAGCTGTGCTGGTCAAACCAAGGCTATGTTGAAGGGCAGAGTCTCATCTCGGGAAATAGTTACCCGACCCCGTTTTATATGGAGTCTATGGGGAATTCTTGGCCAAGCCTATGGGCTCCTATTACTCCACATTAAACTTGGCTTTGTGCCACATCCTACCTTGTGGGGTGGCTGGTAAATATCAACTAACTGGGATCTGTTATTCAGCTCTTAGCTGTTGTCGAACTCTCTGCCTTTGGGCAGAGAGAAACCCAGATGAAGCTATGCCAAAGGGCAGAGTCTCGCCTGGGGTGGTAGACAGACCCAAACCCATTTATGCAGAGTTTATGAGAAATTTTTTTTACCGAGCCTACGGGCTCAGATTGCCCCACATTAAATTCGGCCTTGTTTGTGCCACATCCTATCCTGTGGGGAGGTTGATAAATACTACTAGCTGAGATCTGTTGAGTATGACTTATGCGAGAATTACTGCCCTTCCAATAGTAGCACTCACTACTGGATTGACTTGTGATGACCTTGTGCATAGCTGTTACCTTTATTCTTATTGTACTGGTTTTTTACAATAAACCTTTTACTTATTTTATCCACCTTGTTTTTCAAGTATATATTCCTATTAGCATGAAATATAACAAAATCATAGCATAATAAACATAGATATAAAACATTACATCCTTTTACATTTACATTGCTCTTTCTGAGTATAAATATCATCCCTTTCAAATAATAAAAATGAAGATGATGATGTTGAAAAAAATCATCATCATCTTCTTTATTTTTAAACTAATTCATTTCTCCATTTATCTACTGGTCTGCCCATTTTATCAAAGGGAAAATTTTACCATTCAGTAGAAAATTATTATTAAAAGAATCTCTTCAGTTAAACTCCTTTCCCTTTTTGTGTTGATGTAAAATTTCCACTAATTTAATCTGAAAAGCTAAAGATGAAATACAATCATTACTTAAGTATATTTTAATGTTTTCCTTTTGTTTACTTTCCAGGATAGAGTCCTACCAAGATTGACACGTGGTCACTGGCAACGGTACAGTAACATTTTCTTTGCTTTCTTTATTATTAATTTGCCAGTTCCAATAAAGATGATCTGTTGTAAATATTGAATCATCCATCTTGTACTTATTAATTGTTAATTGTTCTTATTGTTTATAGCTTGTCTTCTTGTTCTGCCAATGAAGTAAGTGAAGCTAAAAATCTAGAAAATCTGCATGATTCAGGCTAATTCCACTTACAATACTGACCATGTTTTTAAGGATTTTCTTGCATTTCAACATTATTCCTTGGATTGCAAAGAAATCTGCTTTTAGCTTTCCTGTCACTGTCAAATTTTTCATGTTCATATCTATGAAAGAAAAAAAAACAAACAAAATATTTGCTCATTCATTAATAGTTTCCCTATAATGGATCCAATTGAAATACCTTTGTATGTGTGAGGGTTTTGTGGACTACCTTTTTCTTTCCATAGTACATTAATGACAGATAAACCCCACTTTTTGAGGATGAATTTCTAATTCCAGACTTCTTTCATAAAATAGAGAAATTTGTTAGTGAAAGGAATCTATTTTCAAATGTTCAGCTTCAATGTCAAGTGATCCTTTACTATTCCTTAGTTCATAATAGTTTTCTTAATTTCCTCATCAGTACGTTCATTATTGTTTGTTTATAAAAAGAATTTGTAATGATTGTAAGGACATTTGGTATATGTTCTATTTCTGCAGACATCTTTAGTGTGGTCAGGTTTGAAATGTGATTTTTGAGATCAGGACATTAGTTCTGTTTGGGTTTTGATTGGAAAAGATCATTCAGCAATTGTATTATAGGAGGAGTATATAGGTTCACCTATCATTCAGTTCCCACACCTCCCCAGTTTTTTTGAACAGGAGTAGAAGTTTATCTCTTGTTTTCTTTTTAGGATTGGGTTTCTGGTTTCTTCTAAAGTCTACTCCAACTCTATACGCCTAACATCTTTGCCTAAGCTCTGAAATTTTATTTACTATTTATTTTTTTTTTCACAATAGGAGTAGATAGGTTTGCCTATCATCCAATTCATGCTCCTTCCCAATCTTTTTGAAGAGGTGTAGAAATTTATTCTTTGATCCCTGTTTAGGATTGGTTTCCAGTTCCTTCTAAAGTCTTTTCATTCTCTTTCACTCTCAGTAGCCTCTTGCATCTTAGTGGCATTATCACCTTGCTTAGCATAAATTAATTAAAAAAATTTCCAATCTGATTCCACCTTGGTACATAAACTGCATGTTATATTCTGTGCTAATAGGAATATATACTTGAAAAACAAGGTGGATAAAATAAGAAAAGGTTTATTGTAAAAAAACCACTACAATACGAATAAAGGTAACAGTTATGCACACGATTGTCGCAAGTCAATCCAGTAGTGAGTGCTTCTATTTGAAGGTCGGTAGTCATTCTCAACAGATACCAGCTAGTATATTTAGCTACCCCCACGAGGGTTGCATGTGGCACAAGGCCAGTTTAACTTGGGTTCTCTGAACCTGTAGGCCAAAAATATTCCCTTTTGAACCCGTATAAATGGGTTCAGGGGCAATCTACCTCCCTGAACGAGACTCTGCCCTTCGGTGGAGCCTCGTCCGAGTTCCTCTCTGCCCAAAGGCAGAGAGTTCGACTGTCTAGCTGGAACAGATCCCAGCTAGTCTCTGCAGTCCTTGACTTACAGATAATTATAGGTAATTACTACCTATAGTGTAGTTACTCATGGGGGTGACAAGTTATTCCATTACATCATGCATAAAGAATGTTACTAAATTGGCAAGTCTGTCTCATCTTTTTACTGTTCAAATAGCTAAAAGTAACCATAAGTTCTTTTGTAATAGTTTATTTTCTCACACTTCTTACCTGTGGAATTTTCTTTTGATTTCTTGCTCCCCTACCATTTATAAATGCAATGTCAGTTGCCATCTTTTGTCCCCCTGAATCCTGTTCTTTTATCATTTTTCCCTAAAATCTTGAATACTTGGATAAGTATCACCACAGGATTTGTGAGTAGCAGAGCTGCATTGAGTCTAGTCAGTTTCTTCTTCGTCACCAAGGCCTGTTGGTCCAGTGATATAATGTTTGTGTTGTATTGTAACAGTCCAGGTTCAATTCTCAGTAGTAGATGCAGACAGCTGATGAGTTCCAAACAGGATGAAACAGCTGTCCAGTGCTTTCTGCATTCTGTTGAGGATTCTTTTAGACTTGATGAATCACTATAATGATTATTCTAATTCCCCCAAAATTCTATCACTTATATATATATATATATATATATATATATATATATATATATACACACACACACACACACACACACACACACACACAATGGATGCAATGGGTAAATTGTTGCCCTTTTTTATTTTTAATTTCATGCATGTGCATTGTTTGCTTGTGATTTTGTCAGCTGCATCGTATATTAGGATCAGTTAGGCACTGTGAGAAAAAGAGCACCACAATACAATTCATTTTGCCAGAAATTTGGAAATGGCAAACTGTACTGCTTAGCATTTGTACCAAAAGCTCCAATGCAAACATTTCAGAGTGTTTGGGTTTCAATCTGGGGACAGTGCAGAGAGTTTGGAAAGAGTTGGATGAGTCTAATGGTGATTACAAAGATACAGCAGCTTGGAAAACTCACTCTGATTGTTCTGATGAGAAAAGAATCTGTTATCTTTTATCCACTAGGCCATGTGTCCTTGAGGACATCAGTGTATGAATTTTTTTTTCTGGCCACACCAGGAAGAGACCCAGCTACTACTGGACCATGTGAACTCAATAAGATCATTGATAAAATTCATAATGGAGTGAGAAAATGATAACAAACTCACCTTCTTGGATGTACTAGTATCTCGAACAGAACATGGGTTCCAGACATCTGTATACCACAAGCTAATATTCACTGGACAATACCTCAACTTCAACTCTTACCACCCATGCAGTGTAAAGAAAGGGACTGCTTACTGCTTACAACATCAAGTAAAAGTTATAAGTGACAACCAGAGACATATGATCAAGAAATGGCAGTACCCTACAACATAACAACTACCCCGGGTACATGGCAACAGCTCCAATAAACTGGGATAGAAGGATACAAAAGATAACAACATTCAGAAAATAACTTCGGTCTGCCTACTCTATGTGAAGGGATTATCAGAAAAAATACAAAATATCTGTGGTCCTTCAAATGTGGTTCAGCACTTCACAGATACCTCTTCCAAGTAAAACCCCACCCCCTATAGAAGAGAGCATGACTAATGACTGCATGTATGCCATCCTGTGTAGCTGTCTTAAGAAATATAAAGAAGCCCCTCCCTTAAGAAAAGACTGCAAGAACATCATAAAGCCGTAATACTAGGGGAAATAGTAAAACCAGGCATATGGAGAGAAAAGGGAGATCACCACCCACTGTAGGATGAGGTTGAAATAATAGACAGAACATCACTGGAAATTACAAAAACTTAAGGAATCAGCACATATGCTAGGCCACAAAAATCTCCTAAGCCAGCTAAGCATAGAAATGAATACAATATGGGAATCAGTAAATCGGAGTGCTAGAGAAAAGCAATAAAAACCACAAAATTGCAATATGAGCTCTGGTAAAAAAGGTTGGTGAAACATTAAGTTTATAAGTCCTGAAAATTCATACACAAGGACATATGGCCTAGTCAATCAAAGGTTTGGTTGGATCAAGTGACTTGACCCAAAGAGTTGTGAGTTCAATACCTGGCTACTTGGAGATTTCACAATAAAGATGAGGAAAACAGTCCTAACAATGTAAATAATTACATCATCTCAGAAATATAGAAGATATAATATATATATATATATATATATATATATATATATATATTGATATATATATATATATATATATATATATATATATATATATATATATAAAGTAACATTGTTTTTCACCATTTAGAGGTGACAATCTGTTTCATGAAACAGAACGCCTCTAAGTGTTAAAACCTATGTTTATCATTTTATATTTTTTTTTGCTCTATCTCTGATATACTCAATGCAAATTTACAGAGCATAAATATTATAAATTAACTAATTTAAAAATATTGTTCCATTGCTACACAGGAATTACCATGTTTCAAAAACAGAAACTAAAAACTTCAAATTCAATTATATATTTAAATTAAAGTCCCTAGTTCTGTTTCATATTCAAGCAAATTTTTGAATAACTTATTTTGAAATTTTCTGAGTTTTATAAGCACATACATTCATAATATTTGTTTCCAAGGATACAGGGAAATCCAATCGTTTTGACAAGGGGTGCTAGCATGTTCATTTATACTGACGACTATTGTATCAAATATTAGTTACTTTCAAAAAGAGGTTATGTCAAGGTAGGTTAGGGGTGCCTTTTTCAATGAATAATGAGATCCATTCAATGCATATCGTCTGGTTTTTATTAACGACAATAAGTTTTTCGGCATTTTTTCCTGTTAAGTTTGTATTTGTATACATAAAGATTCTTCCTAAAAGGTGCTTGGATTAGAATACATTGTATTGAACTACAATTTTAAAATATTAATTTTAATTACTAATTGACTATACTTCTTTTTAAAACAAATAAATGTAATAGAATTACTTAAATTATTTAAAAATTATTATTAAATGTCAAATATAAGTATGTATATTTCTTTTATCAACTTTTTTTCTTCTTTTTTTAAACATTATTTAAGGAAAATTTTTGACAATGTCAGCAAATAATAACTATTTCATTTCTTTGATTCAATAAAAGTAAATTTTTATTTTTTATATACCTAGTAATATATAGTTGCCACCCCTTGTCAAAATGATTGGATTTTCCCATATCCTTGGAAATAAATATTATGAATGTATGGCCCAGAATTCAACTGTAATTTGATATTTTTATTTAGGATTTGTACTTGCACGTATTTCCTAGTGTTTAACCCATCTTGTTCATCCGATTTTGTATTTTTATGTAGTTATTAACCTTTTTTCTCACTCAGCAGTGTGAGCTCTCTTGCCCGATATGGC